CGCATCTGTGTTGAAGCAGAAAACTGCCATCGCACCCAGAGAGTTCCCTCTGGTCTCTCCACGACTGCCACCCCCAGACACAACCAATTAAACAAATGGTTTCTGCAGTTTTGCCCTTTGCAGAATCACACATATATGGAATCGTACTGTACGAGGCTGTATGTGCCTGACTTCTGTCCTTCAGAGTGGCTGTACCATTTTGCATTTCCATGAGCAGTGTTTGAGATTTCCAGTTGTTCTGTATATTCACCAACATTTAGCGCTGTCGGTATTTTTTCATTTTACCCATTCTGTTACGTATAGAGGGATCTCCTGATTTTATTTGCATTTCCCTGATGACTAATGATGTTAAACATTTTTTAAAAATTTAACATTTTTTATTATTTATTTTCGAGAGACAGAGAGAGAGTGCACGTGGGGTAAGGGCAGAGAGAGGGAGACACAGAATCCGAAGCAGGCTCCAGGTTCTGGAGCTGTCAGCACAGAGCCTGATGTGGGGCTCGAACCCATGAACCATGAGATCATGACCTGAGCCCAAGTTGGACTCTTAACCAACTGAACCACCCAGGGGCCTCAGTAATCTCCTCTTTTTATAAGGACACCAGTGTATTGGATTAGGGCCGCCCTAACAGCCTCATTTTAATTTCCTCTTTAAAGACCCTATCCCCAAATATAGTCACATTCTGAGGTATTGGGGGTTAGGGCCCCAACATAGAATTGAGAGGTTACACAATTCAACCCACAGCAATAGAGCTGTTTATGTTCTATATGAATTTGGGGATTTTTGTCTAGTTATTCTACCAAAGATTAACATTGTGATGTTTAAAACCCAACTTTGTAGGGGCGCCTGGGTGGCGCAGTCGGTTGGGCGTCCGACTTCAGCCAGGTCACGATCTCGCGGTCCGTGAGTTCGAGCCCGACGTCAGGCTCTGGGCTGATGGCTCAGAGCCTGGAGCCTGCTTCCGATTCTGTGTCTCCCTCTCTCTCTGCCCCTCCCCCGTTCATGCTCTGTCTCTCTCTGTCGCAAAAATAAATAAACGTTGAAAAAAAAAAATAAAACCCAACTTTGTAGATTTTCCTTACTCCATTTAGTTCTATGCGTTTTTGTTTCATATATATTATACTCTCTCATTAGGAACACAAGATGTTTTTACTGTTAGGCTTTCTTCGAGTTAAATCTTATCCCTGCATGGTATGCTATGCTTAGGTGTGATTTTCTTTCTATTTATTCCCTTTGGGGTTTGTCAAGCATCTTAAGTCCCCAAATTTGTTTTTCAACCAATTTAGGGAATTTCCAGCCATTTTTTCTTCAAATTTTTTTTTTCTGCCCCGTTTTCTCTTTCCTGCCCTTTGGGATGCCATTTACATATATATAAGGCAACTTTCTACTATTTCATGTATCACAAGAGCACCCATTTTCTAAATCTTTCCCTTGGTTTCTTGGGCTGGAGAAGTTCTAATTACTATTCCTCTGTTCCCCCACCATACCGACTGCTGCCGTCTTCATCACCGTAATTTTTTCATTATATAGAATCTATACTTTTCAGGTCTGGATTTTCCATTTGTTTTCTTGTCCTTGTGGTTAGGTTCCCTTTCTTTGCTCAGATTCCCCCATTTGTTCATTAATTTGGGTCATGTTTTCTATTTAGGTCTTTGGCGGACATATTTATAACAGCTGCTTTAAGGTCCTTGTCTGCTAATTCCAGTATCTAGATGACCTTGGAGCTGGTTTCAGTTGACTTCCTCTTCTCCAGACCGGAAGTCACGGCTTTCCCGTGTCTTCGTAATTCCAGTGGTTTTTTTATGGTATAGTGAACATTGCGGATGACATGTCCTTTCCAGATTCTGTAACTGCTATCTGTGGGCCAGTGTGATGCATTCCATGCCACAGTTATTGAGAACCATTTGACTGGGCTTTAATTTCATAATGTTGCATGCCAAGGACCTGGATTAGTTGATGACTGCATCATTCTTTGCAACCTTAAGGTTTCTGGTTAGTAGGAATAAGTTTTTGTTTATCTCATGGAAAGCTTTTAGTACGATTGAGACTATCAACAAATACTGATATCATAGCTACTGAGTAAAGCATGGGCTCTGTCTTCAAAAACTGTAAAAGATAGCTAGGGAAGCTAGGATGTGTCCAGAAGTGAATTTTAAAATGTGGTAGACCTTACTAAAATGCTATGCATGAAAAGGATTGACAGTGCTAATGTTGGTGATGAGGTGGAACACGGAAACTCTCGTGTTTTATCGGTTACGTTTTTCTGTGTAACAAATCACTCCAAAATGAGTGGCTTAAAGAAACAACAATTCAATTAGCTCAAAATCTCACAGTTCTGAAGATTAGCTCAGCAAGGTGGTCATTGGGTTTTTGCTGTGCTCCGTCATGGGTCCGCAGTTAGCTGCTGGTCAGAGAGGGTGCTCTGCCCCGAAGGGTCAATTGGCTATTGACTGGGCGACGTGTCTCTGATCATCCAGCATGCTAACTTGAGCTTATTCACACAGTAACTGGGCAGGGGCCTGGGAAAGTGGACACGTGGAAGGCTTCCGAAGGCCCTGGCCTGGAGCGTCTCATACAATTTCTTAATAGTTGTATTAGTCAAAGCCAAAACAAGTCACAAGGTCAGCCCACATTTGAAGGATGGAGAAATATGCTTTGTGTTTTTGATGGGAGGAGATACAAAGTCTCAGTGTATACAAGGAAAAGAATTGTGGCTCTTCTTGCAAGATGACATATATTTATTACTTGTGGGGATGTAAATTGGTACTGATGCTTTTTTTTTTTTTTTTTTAGTGTTTATTTATTTTTCAGAGAGAGACATACAGAGTGTGAGCAGGAGAAGGGCAGAGAGAGAGGGAGACACAGAATTCGAGGCAGGCTCCAGGCTCCGAGCTGTTAGCACAGAGCCCGACGCGGGGCTCAAACTCACCAAGGGTGAGATCGTGACCTGAGCTGAAGTCGGATGCTCAACCAACTGAGCCCTCCAGGTGCCCCGGTACTGATGCTTTTGAAGACTATTTAGCTATACCTAGTAAAGCTATCAATTCCACTTCTGATATATACTCAAGAGACATTAGTGCTTATGTCCACCAAATACATGGGAAAAAAATGTTCTCCGTCCATTTTTATTCATAATAGCCAAAACCAGGAAGCAATGTAAATGTTCATCAATAGAAAAATGGAGAAATAAATTATGGAATATTCATACGATGGAATACCATATGGAAAAGAAATAACAAATGACCGCACAGGCAACCATTTGTTGAATAAAAGAACCAGACACAAAAGGAGACATACTGTATTATTGTATGATTAGATTTAGTTGAGGTTCCAAATTGGGCAAAACTATCTGTGACCATCGAAGTCAGTAGAGTGGTTTCCTTGGTCTGGGCGGGGGGTAGTGGAGGGTTTTTAATGTTTATTTATTTATTTTGAGAGAGAAAGAGAAGGAGAGCACAAGCAGGGGAGGGGCAGAGAAAGAGGGAGAGAATCCCAAGGAGGCTCTGCACTGTCAGCACAGGGCCCAGCACGGGGCTTGAACTCATGAATGTGAGATCATGACCTGAGCCGAAATCGAGAGTTGGACATTTCACTGACTGAGCCACCCAGGCGCCCCAGGAATGCTCTATATCTTGATGTGAGTGATGGTCATGTGTGAGTGTTAGTGTATGTGTGTGTGTGTGTGTGGGGGGGGGGGTGTATGTGATATTCGTCAGGCTCTGTCTGTAAGATTTATGCATTCAATTTACTGTAAGTTATACCTCAATTTAAAACAATTTTTTAAAGGGTGGTGGCAATGACAAATACATGTGATTGGAGTGGAGAGCAGGGAGGGGCACTGGGGCCTGGCACGTCCAGAGGCCGTTTGGGGCCCTGGGGAACTACACTTGAAGGAACCAGGAGGTAGCAGGCTTTGGGGACTGGCAGAGAGAAGGTCAACCACTCCCACCTGACTCGGCTACCCTCACGCTCTGCGTCCACTCCACCTGCCAATCTTGCCAACCCTCTTGACTCCAACCTTCCGACCTTCTAGAATGAGAAAATTAAAAAACGACAGTGACTTGAACAGATACACGCCAAACTGCTCAAAAAAGTATCAAAACACATACAACCCAAGCTGAGGAAGAGCTGGTGGCATAACTGTTTTTCTGTTTCGACACACCCTTAAAAGTCGGACACGCCAACCCTATCGTCCCTGCAGAAGTTTTTAGTGTCGTGTCGGGGGTAGCGTGCTGGGGGAACGGTAAAGTCCTCAGCAAACACAGATGGATAGCTGCACACTATCGATGCCCAGCTTGACTCTGGAATGTAGACCGGAAACAACCAACAGCTGGCATCTTGGAGGGAAAGGCCCCGTCATTCTGGGAATTTGGACTTCCTCACTGATTCTCTGGGAGGCTACACTCTCTGGCTCCTGTCACACTCAGTCTTGCTCATTCCAAATATTTGGAATATTCCTCTTGATTGTGTCCGGGGCTCTTAGAAAAATGAGTTGTAACTTAGAGCCCTTCCCTTCAGAAACCCAGAAGAAACCCCCTCACACTTGTTAGCCAAGGGCTGGGCGAACCCTCAGGCCCTATTGCCTAAGAGCTGGATCCGTGTGGGATTGATACTGGCCCAGGCAAACGACCTAGGCAGTCAGAACAAATGCAGCTGACTGGTTGGTTCTTTGGGACTTCAATAAAAGCCGGAAGGGGGGGTACGGCGCCTGGGTGACTCAGTCAGTTGAGCGTCTGACTTTGGCTCAAGTCATGATCTTGCGGTCTGTGAGTTCGAGCCCCACGTCGGGCTCTGTGCGGACAGCTCAGAGCCTGGAGCCTGCTTCGGATTCTGTGTCTCCCCCTCTCTCTGCCCCTACCCTGCTCTCTCTCTCTCTCTCTCTCTCTCTCTCTCTCTCTCCCTCCCTCCCTCTCAAAAACAAATAAACATTAAAAAACAAGCAAACAAAAGCTGGAAGGTGTACTCAATTGGACAAGAGGGTTCTTTGGGTGCAATTAATTGGCTCTGTGTGCATGAGAGAGGCTACGAGTTCAAGGGCTGCCATCACTCAATTCCTGCCCTCAGATACTAAATCTGAACCAGTGACTTGCTGATTGCTCAACAGCACCAAGAACCGCCCTAATGTACGTCAAGGGCACCACCAGCCTTTCATTTGGGTTTTATTAATTTTTTAAGCAGGAAAGCAAACAGCGAGTGGCCTTCCTAGCCCCTGTTCGGCATCTTGTCTTCCAAGGGGCCCAGGTATCCCTTTTCCCGTTCTCACCCAGAGGGGCGAGCCAGAGCCGCGCTGGAAACCCGGTTTCCTGCCTTGTGGCTCTGTTTGTCTTGGACTTTTATCAAGGAGGAGCAGGGCGGAAAGTTCTACGTGCGGGCGGAGATGTCAAGCACAGCCCCCTGGCCTTTCTCCCAGCTAAACGGCTCCGATAAGTAAGTGGGCAGGCCTTGAGCCCCGAGACCCACAGACACACTTGGATGACTTTACAGAAATCAGTCGGCCGGTCTCTCCGAGGGCTCTGACTAGCTCCGGATGCGCCCCCTCCCAGCACCGCGGACATGGCCAACCAGACCAACGCCTCCACCCTGTACGACAGCTACGAATACTACTTGGACTACGTGGACCTCATTCCCGTGGATGAGAGGAAGCTGAAAGCCAACAAATGTGAGTCCTCGACTGGGGGAGCCAGCCAGGCAGAGGCTGGGGGTTGGCCCGAAAGACTTTCTCTGGCCACTTCCTACTCCCAACAGATGTCACAGATGAGCCCAAACACGACCCTAACCCTAACCCTCAGAGATATAAGTAAACGGGAGCAGAATCTTATCTGTCATCTTCTGTAAGAGGTTTGGAACTAACCTCCTAAGAAACTAGGATGATTTGGGAGCAGAATATGCTTTTATTTTTTTAATTTTTTATTTTTAATGTTTACTTAGTTTTGACAGAGAGAGAGAGAGAGAGAGAGAGAGAGAGAGAGAGAGAGAGACAGTGAGAGCAGGAGAGAAGGAGAGAGAGGGAGGAAGACACAGAATGCCCAAGCAGGCTCCAGGCTCTGAGCTGTCAGCCCAGAGCCCGATGCGGGGCTCGAACCCATGAACCGTGATCACGACCTGAGCTGAAGTTGGATACTTAACCAACTGAGCCACCCAGGTGCCCCTAGAATATGTTTTCTTTTTTTTTTTTTTAAGTTTATTTATTTATTTTGAGAGAGAGACAGAGCACAAGCAGGGAGGGGCAGAGAAAGAGAAAGAGAGAGAGAATCCCAAGCAGGCTCCATCTGTGATGTTAGCTCAGAGCCTGACTTGGGGCTCAGTCTCACAAACCGTGAGATCGTGACCTGAGCCAAAATCCAGAGTCTGATGCTTAACCAAGTGAGCCACCCAGGCACCCCAGAATATGCTTTTAAGACAGACTTTTTTTTTGTTAGAGTGTGATTTGCCAGGGTTCCTGTAAGCTAGGTGAAATTTCTTCAAATTGCAGATTTCGCATTTTCTCTCACTCTATGCAGATTTGGGGGAGGTTACTGTGTCCACCCCTAAGATATATGATTTACTAGTTTCCATGAAAACACCAATTGATTGGGGCTCCCGGGTGGCTCAGTCAGTTAAGCGACTGACTTCTGCTCAGGTCGTGATCTCGCAGTTCGTCAGTTCAAGCCCTGTGTCGGGCTCTGTGCGGACAGCTCGGAGCCTGGAGCCTGCTTCGGATTCTGTGTCTCCCTCTCTCTCTGCCCCTCCCCTGCTCGCGCTCTATCTCTCTGTCTCTCAAAAATAAATAAATGTTAAAAAATTTTTTTAAATACCAACTGATTTTACTCTTCATGGTCTCAGGAAGGACCACCAGAGCAAACCAACATGCTTTTTTTGCTCCTCTCTCTCCCAGTCTCTATCCCTTGGGTAAGTTGGTGCTTTGTGAACAATCTTCTCTGATTATTCCAGCTACTCGGTCAAGATAACAAGTTAGCTGAGGGAATGAGTACGAAAAAGCAAAGCAAACCAAAAACAGTCTCAGGGCTCTGCCATCCTCAAGTCTCGGGCTCCTTGGCTATTTCTTTATTTTATTTTTATTTTTATTTTTGAGACAGAGAGAGACAGAGCATGAGCAGGGGAGGGGCAGAGAGAGAGGGAGACAGAATCGGAAGCAGGCTCCGGGCTCTGGGCTGTCAGCACAGAGCCCAACGCGGGGCTCAAACTCACGGACTATGAGATCATGACCCGAGCCGAAGTCAGACACCTAGCCCCTCCTTGGCTATTTCATGCTCTATGATCACATAATCTGTCAAGAAGTAAGTGCAGTCACTAGAAGGAACACGATGCTTTTCCTATGAAAAGCAAGATCACTTGTTCACGCATCAGCTCAAAACTGAAATCCATTTGGATGTTATCGGTAATAAAAGGTAGCAGATCCCCGGCAGAGCCCTTGGAGAAAGTTGTCTAGAATGTCTTGTTAGGAAGTGTACCTATTTCCATTTTCATTTACAGCCTCCAGGAGTCCGGTACCCATCCACGTTTGCTGCGTCCCCAGCCTGGTAGCAAAGCTTTTGCGGGGGACGATAGGTTTGGTGTGTGTTTCCTGATGCGGGGTAGATACTCACGAATCAAAAAGCAGATTTTTGCACAGACAGCTCACAGTCACAGGGAGAAAGTGGCAGGGTTGAAATAGAAGCCCACTGATATGTATGGTCAGAAGTTCAGACCTTCAGGATACATATTGGTCTGGACAAAATGTAAATCTGTATTCGGGAAGGTTGTTTTTAAATTCACACGAATTAGGGGCGCTGGGGTGGCTCAGCCAGTTAGGCGTCAGACTCTTGATTTAGGCTCTGGTCATGATCTCAGTGGTTTGTGAGATCGAGCCCCTCAACTCTGCACTGGGCCTGGAGCCTGGAGAGATTCTCTCTCTCTCCCTCTCTGCTCCTCCCCCACTCCTTAGGATGTGCACACACACGTGTGCTCTCTTTCTCTCTCTCAAAAAATTTTTTAACCTGAATTAAATAAAATGCTGTTAGCTTCAGACACCCCCATCCTTTTGTACACCAGACATCCCGCTTGGTCACCACCTGGGCTCCAAAGCTCTCTCCCCTGCTCTGAGTGGGAGCCTTCTTTGCTTATCCAAAGTCTTCGAACCTACAGTCTCAGCCTCCTGCCCTGTGTAATGACCCATGAACAACGTCCATTTCTGGAGAAAGTGGTTGATGTTCTCTAAGCTGTGTGTGAGGTCTTAAAAGAAATCCTTTTTCTTGCACACATGAGCTAGAGATAAAAAGTTCATAGCCTGCTGGGCAGACAAATGAGGAAACTCCTTCCTGGGGCGCCTGGGTGGCTCAGTCAGTTGAGTGTCCGACTTTGGCTCAGGTCATGATCTCACAGTTTGTGAATTCGAGCCCCCCATTGGGCTCCTTGCTGACAGTGCAGAGCCTGCCTGGGATACTCTCTCTCTTCCTCTCTCTCTCTTTCTGCCCCTCCCTCACTTGTTCTCTATCTCTCTCTCTCTCTCTCAAAATAATAAATAAATAAACTTTTAAAAAAGCAATGCCTTCCCAAACTCCCAAATGCAATATAGACCATCTCAGTGAGGAAACTGTCCCAGGGGGAGGCCAGTCCCTGGGTCCCCCAGACAGCCTAGAGGTCAGGAGTCTTTGACACCCACGGAGAGAGGTACTCCTTCTGGCTTCCTTGATTTCTGTTTGTATCTCAGCCTTCATGTGTCCTCTGAATTTAATCTCCACCTTCTCTGGAAAAGGAGTTTGAGGCTAGACAAAAATACTCTCCCAGGGTGTTTCTGTCCTGGATGGGTAGTTGTCTAGCTTGTGTTTGGGGACCGGCCAGGAGGCAGTGACACACGGATCAGAGGCCGGGCGCGTGGAGCCCTGCGCCACCTGGCACGAGTTCACATCTGAGCTCTGCCACTTTCTAGCTCTGTGGCTTGGGGCAAACAAGTTACTAAAGCCAGGCCAGATTCAAGAGGAGGGAACTAGAACCTATCTTGCAGTGAGAAAAGTGTTGAAAACTCAAAGCAGCCTTCCACCCACCACAAACAAGAAAAAGTATGGCAGGCGGCAAAACAAAACAGGAAGGGTAGCCAGGGAGAGGTGGGGCCCTAAGAGGAACCGGGCGGTTGGCAAAGGCCCCCCAAGGATGTCCTGTGAGCAGGTGAGAGACCAAGCCCTGAAGCGGTCTCTGGGAGGAGCCTTCCAGGCCACAGGAACTCCGAAGACAAAGGCTCTGAGGCAGGGGGATATCTGGTGTGTTCCAGGAACGAAAAGCGATGGCAGTGACTATTCCCTTGTATTTTGGAAACTACCTGAGAAATACCCTTTTTGCCCCTTGAAACGGAAAAGCCATTTTCTTATTTCATAAGTCAACACAACCCATCAATCAACAAGAAAAAAAAACCCAATAGAAATATGGGCAAATGATACGAGAGCACAGTTAACAGAAGAGGAAACTCAAAGGGCCGAGGAACGTGAGAAAACGCTCACCTTCACAAGTACTCAGGGAGCGCCCTGGGAAGGACACTGAGGTTCCATTTCACACTCACTCAATGCACAAACATGGAAACACTGATACTCGGTGTGTCGGGGTAGGAAGTGGAGAAATTTGTATTGCCACACGTGGATGATGACCTTAACATTCTAATATCCTTTTTTTTTTTTAATTTTTTTTAACGCTTATTTATTTTTGAGACAGAGAGAGACAGAGCATGAACGGGGAGGGTCAGAGAGAGGGAGACACAGAATCCGAAACAGGCTCCAGGCTGTGAGCTGTCAGCACAGAGCCCGACACGGGGCTCGAACTCATGGACCGCGAGATCATGACCTGAGCCGAAGTCGGACGCTCAACCGACTGAGCCACCCAGGCACCCCTTTTAATATCCTTTTTTAAAAAAAGGATCTGGAGGAAATACTCTGTGTATTTCTATGAATTTGGAACATTTTATAATTCAAACTTTTCAAGAACGTTTATCTATTCTGAGAGAAAGAGAGAGGGCACGCATGCCTGGGTGGGGGAGGAGCGGAGAGAGAGAGAGAGAGGCAGAGAGAGAATCCCCAGCAGGCTCCGTGCGTTAGTGCAGAGCCCGACGAGGGACTCCATCCCGTGACCATGAGATCGTGACCTGAGCTGAGATCAAGAATCGGATGCTTAACTGACCGAGTCACCCGGGTGCCCCTCGAATTTCTAAAATGTAAGTCGTAAAGGTTAATATGCTCATCGTAAAAGACTCAGACAGTGAATTACTGCACTTTACCATTCAGAAAAACAAAAATCAGCGTTAGCATTTTGATGCCTGGCCGCCTTAGGGTTTTTCTGTGTCTTCAAAACACAGAATGTGCCTGCACGCACATATACACACATGCCGTCTGTGATAACTCCTGAGGGGAAACTGAGACCTGCCTTGAGTGATCTCTCTCCTCCCCGGGCCTGTGACTACCAGGCAGAGCCCAGCGGGCAGCAAGGGGCCACCCTCTCCAGTGGATGGACGAGCGCGGCTGGGAAGGACAAGGACCCTGAGCCTGGTGGGAGGCTGGGGACAACAACCCCACACTCTGGGCAGTTTGGCAGGATTTTAAACATTTCGCTCATGTTGACAAGGACCCTCTTTTTTATATTATTACTAATTGAGGGGAAACGTGCACAACACAAAAGTGACCATTTAAGCCATTGTAA